CTAGGAAGAAAAATATGCTGTCCAAATGGAAAACTGGAATTCACAAAAGATATTTGCACAGAACAATACACATACTTTAAAGATAACATTTTATGGAACTTTCTTTGCTTTAGTACTCGAAATGTTGGGCTGTCCTAGATCAGATGTCTCTTCTCTATAATTGATCTCTCAGTCAGAGATCCTTAAAGTGTGGTCTGGAAACCCCTAGGGGTCCCTGAGACCTTTTGAAAAGATCCTAAAGGTCAAAACATTTTTTATAATAAGATGTCACTTTGCTTTAACTATTTCATTCCCTCACAGTTACACACTTGGGTTTTCCAAAGGCAACATGGCAAATGATATCTCAACAGATGAAAGTAGAAGCAGATGTAAGAATCCAGCTGTCTTTTATTAAGGAAGCCATTTGAAAAGATATGCATAAATTTAAGCAATCCCTTTTTTCCCTCACTATTTTTTTATGTTGGAAAATATAATTATCGACTATAAAAAATCATATTCATGTAAAGAGCTCATTATTCTTATTTTTAAATAAATTAATACATATTTGAGACTTTGTTTTAACTTCAAATCAATATATATTAATAGATAAAATCCACAATAACCAGAAGATCTTCAGAGTCCTACATAATTTTTTAGAATGTGAAGAAGTCCTGAGACCAAAGAGTTTGAAAACCAGTGATAGCCAATCACATAGGTTTAACTACCATCCCTCTTTATACTTGTAACATCAAAATTTACATATTCAAGTGCAGCCATTCTTTTTTTTTTTTTTTTAAGATTTTATTTATTTATTTGACAGAGAGAGACACAGCGAGAGAGGGAACACAAGCAGGCGGAGTGGGAGAGGGAGAAGCAGGCTTCCCGCCGAGCAGGGAGCCCAATGTGGGACCCGATCCCAGGACCCTGGGATCATGACCTGAGCTGAAGGCAGACGCTTAATGACTGAGCCACCCAGGCGCCCCTGCAGCCATTCTCTGTATTAAAACAATCCAATGACTTTCCTACACATACAGAACAAAACCCAAACTCCTCTTTGTGACCTACCAGGTCGTAAGAGATCTGGCCTCTGCCTCAAGCTCTAACTTCATTATCTATCCGTTCCTGCTCCCTCTGCTTTTAAGTCTCACTTGCCATCTACGCTCTTCTCCAAATATGTCAACAATGATCCCATCTCTAGGTCTTGCAAATTCTATTGCCTGGTATTCTTTCCTAAATGATGTGCCTCTTACTTCACCCAAGCGTCTATCTGAAGTTTCCCTTTAGAAAGATCTTCTTGGACAGTCTATTAGGAAAAGCAGCCTCTATTATTGATCACCTTGCACTGCTTCACATTTTTTATAGTCCTATCATAACGTGCCATAAAATAAAATATAAATAATTTATGTGTTTATATTGGGCCTCCCTTACAAGCTACACAAGGGAAAGGACATGCCCATCTTTGTTCATTACTTTATCCCCAGTACCTTTAAAAGTACAAGGCACATTGCAGACCTACAGAAATTGTCTATAATTTTTGGTGCAGTGAAAGCATTTGATCTTACAGTTTTACTTTGAGGTGAGAATACTACAGGCTTTATTTTTACAGCTTTTCCTGTTGAAGGAAATTTCCCTTAAGTGAATTCCTTCACTCCAATAATTCAAGAGAAATTGTATGTATTGAAAAGCATTAATAGTATTTGATAGCTTATCCCTAAAAGAGAGTTCCTTGTATTTTTGTTATTAGTGTAGCAATGGAATCTCTTCTATACTACCTGAAAATAAAGGTGTATCCAGTGCCTTATATTTTCAGTGCCTTGGTAGATCAAAAATAAATATAATCATCAAAAGCAAAGTAATGTCAGGCACCTGAGTGGCACAGCCGGTTAAGCAGCCAACTCTTGGTTTTGGCTTATGTTGTTATCACAGGGTCATGAGATTGAGCCCCGCCTTGGGCTCCGTGCTCAGCGAGGAGTCTGCTTAGAACTCTCTTTCTCTCTCCCTCTGCCCTCCCCATTCGCTCTCTCTCTCCCCAAAATAAATAAATAAAAATTTTTAAAAGACTTTATTAATTGAGAGAGAGAGAAAGAGATCTCAAGCAGGGGGAGGAACAGAGGGAGAACGAGAAGCAGACTCCCTGCTGAGCAGGGAGCCAGACATGGGGTACGATCCTAGGACCCTGGGATCATGACCCAAGCTGAAGACAGATGCTTAACCGACTGAGCCACCCAGGTGCCCCAATAAATAAATCTTTAAAAAAAAAAAAGCAAAGTAATTTCATATAAGCCAATATCGGAGTAACAAACGATTTAATTCTCAACATTATCAACGTTGATTCTAGCTTATGTCTTGAGCTTCAAAATAGCTTAGTTATTAAATGGTTAATTGGTTGCCTACTACCATGGGCTAGGTATCAGGGAGAAAATTAATTGTGCTCACCAATTTGGAAAACAAAATGTCTATTAGCCAAGTGGATACAACAGTTTTGCAGGGTAAACACAATGAGTCCAATTTGGAACACCAAGAAATTGAAGTACTGGAATAACTAGGAGAAAATCTCCAATAGGATGGTAAAATTGGGTGGAAATTCAGGATTAGAGAAATGAATCTGGTAATCATTAATGTAAGAGTAGACACCAATGAAGTGGCAGATAACTTAAAAGAAATGGTAAACTCAAAAGAGTCCTCACTTACTAAGATTCTTGCAACCAGGAACCAACCTTTATAGAGCATTCTAGATGGAAAAGATTTTTCAGTGTAGAATCACTGAAGACGGCCTTCCCTCTGAGATTTGCTTGACATGTTTACTGTGGACTTTCTTTACACCAATGTAATAATTCCAACAACTACCACTTATATGAAGATTTTAGAGTTTACAAGTACATTATTATGGTGAATTTTATTTTATTTGGACCTCTCAAGGGACTTATTTCTCTTTCATGTAAAACTTTAGAAAGTTTAAGTGACAAGGTCACAGATAAGTCATTGATGCATAATCTACCACCTTTTTGATGATATATAGTGTCAACACTTTCAATGGAAATAATGTAATTTTCTTCCTGAATTTCATTTCTAGTTATTCTTAACTATTCCATATGACTTTATTGGAAACTTTGCTTCATAATAAATCTTTCCCCTTCCCAAACTATCTTTTCCACCTGAGATAACTGCTAGAAATTACCAATATCTACTTAATCCCCTCTAAGCCCAGAGACCTTAGGACTGCTTCTAGCAAAATTTCCTCATGATATATGTATATTTTTTAAGTAGGCTCCACGCCCAGTGTGAAGCCCAATGTGGGGCTCAAACTCACCACTCTGAGATTAAGAACTGAGCCAAAATCAAGAATCAAACCACAGCAACTTCTTCCTAGAAACATCACCAAAAGCAAGGGAAACAAGGGCAAAAATGAACTATTAGGACTTCATCAAGATAAAAAGCTTTTGCACAGCAAGGGAAACAGTCAACAAAACCAAAAGACAACTGACAGAATGGGAGAAGATATTTG